TCTAGTTGAACCGGGTAGTAGTGATGCCTTGTTGAGTAGATAACATGTTTATTGACGCCTATAGCTCATTTTCTTGGCTTGTGTCACTTTGTGCTTGATGCTTAATATTTTGTGGCTCCGTGAATACTTGTAATTGTTTGAGAATCGAAATGGAACCGTCTTTAGTGAGTCATGTGCCATGTGTGGCGAAAAAGTGTATAGTCCATGTCATTGCATTAGAGTCTAGAACTTGCCCGACATGTGAGTTGAAGCAAAATTTTAGGTTTTGCTCAGTTTGAAAAATGATTTTAGGCTTTCTTTGATTTGTTTGAGCTTAATGCTTACCATAATAAAAATTATCTTTAGTCAACCCTTTTGAGCCTATAAACTTTTATTTGGCAATCACATTACAAGCCTATACCCCTTTGTGCTTAATTATCATTGTTTTGATCCTTTTACCTCTTAAAGCACTTTAATTATAAAATGAGCGCTAAAAGAAGTAAGGATAGAACTTGGGTGGATTTTGAGTGGAACCAATGAAAGAAAGAAAGGTGCACTTGTATTGTAAGGAATACACCATTAGCAGGAAGGGTAGAAGAGAGAAAAAAAAATATGTAGCAAAGAAAAATAAGCATATCTTGTCCTTGTTAGTGTGTATGAATTAATGTAGTACTTAAAGAAAGAGAAAATATTTTTGGGGGTGATAATATTGTGAAATTGAAGTGGATTGAAGAATTTGCGCATGAAGTTTATTATGTGATGTGTTAAAGTGCTTGGGAGGATGAACCATTAATCCAAAATATATCTTACCCTTCCCTTAACCCACATTAAAACCATGAAAAAGTCCTAATTGATTTTAGATTGAGCAAGCCTACATTAGTAGATGTTTACATAATGGGCAAGCCTATAGTACTTTGTGTATGCATGTGACGTCTTTGTGAGAGTGAGGAATTTCTGATATATGTGAGTCCTTAAAATATATTTGAGCATTTGATTCGAATGTGTGGATTCAACTTACTCTCATGTTCTTATGGTGAGGGCACATGATTTCGCAAGGGATATGTGACGTTATTAGATGTCTCTATGATGTTAAGTCTTCAAGCCACGAATGCATTGTGATATTGCGTCGGTTTGTAAGGCTAGGATTGTTATAAGCATGTTGTCTTGTTGTTAAATAAATTTTTGAAGTATGGCATAGAGTAAAGGAAAGTGTGTGTTGAAGGCATATGCTAAATTTTAATTATTGCTATCAACCATAGTCATAGGTATGGTGTGCTTCAGATGTGCTAAAAGAAAATAAAGTGCTCAATGTTAGTATGAATTGGTGGTTGACTCGAGGACGAGCAACGTTTAAGTGTGGGGTGGTGATGTTAGGCCAAGTTGTTATACTTTTAGTACATTACTCGCCCTATATTTTGTTGGTTTAGTGATTAATTGTGCGACATTTGAGCTAAATTGTATTGTTTTATGTGTAGGAATATCGGAAGACAAAGACGAATAAAGGTCACACAAAAAGAAGACGAAAATACAAGAAAAGAGCACAAAAATATCAAGTACCCAAACCGTGCTACAGACCAAGCTTTGCGAGGTCTATAGCCAGGTTGACCGTGCTATAAACCAGGCTTCGCGAGGTCTATAGCCAGGTTGACCGCACTATAGACCAAGCTTCGCGAGGTCTATAGCCAGGTTGACCGCACTACAGACCAGGCTTCCCGAGGTCTATAGCCCGGTAATTAAAAGTCGCGGGTTAAAAGACTCTGACCCGGATTTGAACTTCAACCCTAGCCTATAAATACTCAATAACATGTTTGTACGGGCGAGAGCCATTTTTAGAGCAGATTCAACAAAAAAGAGCATTTTTGGAGATGGAAATTCGACCTAAGGAGTCAAGAACACACCAGGAGCAAGACAGAGATTTCTTCTATGAGTTTGTCACTTCCTTCTTCGTATTTTCATTATTGATTATGAATTCTAGTATTGTAGTTTTGCATACTATTATGAATAGCTAATATGTTATCTAGAGTTTTGATAGAATCTTTTGTAGGATAAATTCTTGTTATGTTTTTATATAATTGAGCCTTTGATTTTTCTCTACTTGTTTAACTATATTTTTATTATTGTTAATTAAAAAGCTCTCAATTAGCTGGGTCTATTTAGTGTGTATATTGCTGAAGAGAGAGTATACATTTAGGTAGTTGTTGAACAACACCACTCCTAACGTAGTTGAGAGATCGATATGGAGGGTTTAAAGATGGGATTAGAGATAACGAAACCTTAGTGGGATCGTAATGAGCAATAAATTAGTGCCAGCTAGCGTAGTTCGAGAGAATGCGTCTAGTAAATTGTGGTAGTTGCTCTAGAGAGAGCTACGGCACCGAAAGTACTCACGATCGGTAGAGAATACTTAGGCAAAATTATAGAAGGTGTAACAGGAAGGATTCCGACAATTGGGAAAATCATAACTCTAGACCTCCTTAGGCTTGTTTCCAATTTCATCCTTGTTAGTTGATAATTTTACTGCTTTATAATATTTGTTAGTTAAATAGTATAAATAAAAATCAAATCTTTATAACTAGAAAATTGTTTGGACTTGTGTTTCTTAGTAATATTGAACAACTGTAGCTAAACTTAGTTCTCTATGGGATTCGATTCCGGACTTGTAAACTGGATTATATTTGCAACGGCCGCTTAGTACTTTTTATAAGGCATAGTTGAGCGTGATCACAAACAAAACCAAATATGGCCGGATTTTTTTTTTTCAACACCAAACCATAGTCGAGTTTTATTTTCTCGGTTTGACTCGGATTATCGGGCTGATGCGGTTTGCTGGTTTCATTTGTACACCCCTACAGCCCTACTACAAAGCATCAAAGCTTGCCTTTAAGGCTTTAACAATTAGGGGTTGTTTGGTAGGGTATCGGAAAAAAATAATACATGTATTAGCTTTGATATTAGTAATCCTTGTTTGGTAGTATTTTTCAGTGTATAACTAATACATAATTCAAATTATATTGTCACGATTTTAAAAGATCATAATCTTAATTATATTGTCACGATTTTAAATGACTAGAATCTCAATTGCACTGTCGCGATTAAATCTTAGAAGAGTTCTGACTGTTATGCGATGTGATCTTTAAAAATATTAATAGCAATTTCTTGGACCGTTGGATCCTTTTAGCATAGGCTAAGTTAAAATATTATAACAACAATTTTCCTTTATGTTTTTGTTAATGTTGCAAATTGAAATAACAAAGATTCGTTGCTTTGTTGTTTATGCTCTTTTATTTTATTTAAAACCAATAAACAATTGAGATATTATCTTTATATATTAGGTGATGGTGTGGTTGAGGGTGAAAACAAGGAAATAACCTTATAGTATTCCATTCTCAAATTATAAATAAATATGGTGGCAGTTTCCTAACAACTTGATCCGCTGTAGCACTGGTCAATTCCTTCTATATTTGAAATAGTCCGGGTTCAAACCCTGGCAGAGGAAATAACTTTTTGGTGCTTATTTTTTTGTTTTATGAATAAAATAAAAGGTTCTATATAGACTTTTTGATCATTTTATCAATATCAAGTCTATAATATTCTGTAAAGATACAAATAAAGTATCCTAAGTTTTATCTATGCCTAGGCAAAGAGCCAGGCTGGCTTGGAGCTCGACTAAAGCTAGGCTCGACTCAACTTAAATCGATTTCGATCAAAATTTATCGATCAAAAAGCATAATTAAAGCTCAAACTAGACTGAAATAACTTGTTAGATCGGTTAAACAACATAATTTAATATTGCTCTAAGTAGAATGCTTTTCTAATTTGTAGTATATGTATAATGTTTTTTATGATGCTATATTTTAGATTCTTTTTCTCCCAGTTATTTTCTCAAAAGCAATACTAAGTTAGCTTAAAGTTGCATGGAGGAATATGTAAGTTTATCTTTATCATTATATCAACTTTCTAAAATTCGAAGTTCAAAATCTGATTGATCCTATTTAAGAATAGTATCATATGCTCTAATTATTATTGAGATAAGCTTCCTCCTTTTGTTTTAATTTTTTTTATTAATATTCGATACTCAAAATTTACTGAATCAACTGATCCGAGCTTTGGGTAGACCTACCAAAAAAGTACTCGCTCTGTCTCAAATTATCTGTCATATTTCTCTTTTACACGCCCATTAAGAAAACCGTAATTAGGGGGAATTTTTGATTAATTATTCTTATTTATGTCATAGATATTTATCTCTCTTCATTGAATATTTACCTATTGATATGTCATCTCCATCTTCAAAAATAATTACTACTAAGGGTAAAACGAGAAAAAAAATTAATTATAAATAATTTGAGATAATTATTTTTAAAAATCACAACTAATAATTTAAGACGGGGGCAGTAAATTAAAGCGCTCTCTATGGAAAGACGATCGAGTCTCCATTCAACCTTTCGTTTAAAAACAAAAAAGAGATTCCAACTATCTCAAATTTTATACCAATTTACAGCTCATATTCCAAATTTAATTATTCTCTTTTAGTTATTAACGAATCTTTGCTAGCATTATTAGGAATCGCCCCAACTACTTTTTTATCTATATATAGCTTTACCAAAATCAGAGTAGATTCTAATTTTGATTAGATGAGATTCCTAACAAAATTTTGGTCCTATCCTATTCTTAATTTAACACTTGCAACCATTGAGAGTAAAAGATACGCAACATAATGTTGATTTTTTTTTTAATCATTGGTTTAATGGTTTGATTTGATTTAATTAAGGGCAAGCATGTGGAGAGTTTACTGATGATGATATATACTAGAAAAAGAAATTATAACATAAAATAAAAGGTTATACATGTCACAATGACTAGTGAACATTATTGGGGTATTATCATTTTAGTTAGCGCCAAAAACTATTTATATTTAGTAATCGAAAAAGTGTATAAAATTTACATATTTTTTGTATATAACATACATAATATATATATATATATANAAAAACAAAACTTAAAAATAAATAAATAAGACAAAGTAATGAACATCTTGCATTCAATTCTTTGAGAATTAAAGTAACAATTTTACAATATGAAGTCACATCTATCAAAAGTCTTCACAAGTTTCTTTCTTGCAAAAAAAAAAAAAGAAAAAGAAAGAGAAAAGTCATACTACAACAACTGCCTTCCCTATTAATTATTCCTCATAAATGTCATCTACCTTATTGTTGAACTTAAGCAACTTCTTTGACTTACAAAAATTCATCAAAAAATACCAACCAATCCCTCCTACAGTCATCAATCCACTAATCAAATACACAAGTTTTGTTGCTATAGCCATAATAAATACCAAAAAACCACATGGAATTAAGCACATAATTACCAAAAGTGGTAATTTCATTGGCACTCTATAAGGTCTTTTAATCAATGGAAATTTCCTCCTTAGCCAAAGAAATGATGCAAATTCCAAAAGCATACCCAAACTATACAAGAAATTGGCTGAAGAAATAATATCTTGAAAATCCATATAAGACATTCCCAATGAAATTGCTGTTGATAATATTATTCCAACCCATGGTGTATTAAACCATTTAGATCTTAACCCAAAAAACTTAGGCAAAAATGCTATTTCAGCCATACCCAAAAGTTGAAATGCTGAACTACTCAATTGTGCTTCAAATAATCCAATAGCTGATAAAACAGCACCAATTTCAATCCAAAATTTCAACCATTTACCAGAAATTATTTCTGCTGCATTTGCCATAAATCCTGTGTCCCAATCATTTTGGTCAACTGAAACAGCTCCAGTCACAGCCAAAAGTGGAATAATATACCCCAAACAAGTAAAAATAACAGATGAAAATAATGCTACTGGAAATGTCTTTTTTGGATTGTCAACTTCTCCTGCCATAGTACTAACATTATCCCAAAAATTCAAGTTCCAAAAAAGGGTATTAAAGAATAAATTCCAATCTTTTTTCACACCCTTTTGGCCTAAACTAATCCACCTATGAGGATGAATTTTTGGTATAGCAATCAATGACATTATAATAAAAGGTGCAAGTGAAATAATTCCAAGTGCAACTGCAACATACCCTACAATTGTTAAACCAGTATAGTTAACAAAAGATAAAAACAGAGTTGATCCAAGAATTGTCAATTTTCTTGGAACCCCAGACGAAAGAACAGGAAAAATCTTTTCTAAATAACTAATACACAAAACTGGAAAAGATGCAATATTTATAACACCAGTTAAGAATTTCCAAGTTCCCATTAAAGAACCCCAAAAGGGACCAAAAGCTTTATCAGCCCATATAACAAAACCACCATTACCAGGAAAAGTTGTTGAAAGTTCAGCAGTGATTAAAGCCTCAGGAACACTCCAAATAAATGGAAAAATTAGAAAACCAAGAATTGCTAGTAAAGGACCAGCTGCTTTAACTGCTGGTTCTTCACCATATGGACCACCAGCTACTTCAAAATATATGAGGAAAATTAAAGGGATGAGTGTGAGTTTATGTTTTTTTGTGGTGGTGGCTGTGGTGGTCGTTATAGGGAGTTCTTGGGTGGTTTGTGGTGGTTCTGTGGTGGCTGCTGTTATGGTTGAAGGATGTGATTCAATCTTCTGTGTCATTTTTGGCTAGCTTTGGTTTTGGTGGTGAAGTAATTGATCAAACAGGTTTTTTGTAGCTGGACTAGTAATATATAAGAGTATTATATAAGCATTGACTAAGTAGGGCTCTCCGGACCTAACATATAAAAACATACTGTATATATTATTGTTATTATATAATCATTGAATCTTTGAAGTTTGGTATTTCCAATAATCATAAAAATTTACTTGCATTCAATGTTTATACTTACTAATAAATAAATGGAATATATGTGTATGTCGTATTTTTTTTTAAAAATATTTAAGCATCTCTACAGATATTTTCGCTATAATACTCCCTTCGTTCACTTTTAGTCGAACACTTTGGACTTTCACGTCCCTTAAGAAATAATAAAAGAAATATGTATTGTATAATTTTACCTATAATAATAATAGCATTTTCAAAAGTCTTGAAAAATAATTTGAGGAATGAGTAGTTAATAATAAGGGTAAAATAGAAAAAAAGATTATTATTCTCTTGATTTAGTATAATAGATAAGTAAAAGTAAAAATATATTTTAAATATATTAGACAAGTAAAAGTGAATGGTACTATTTGTACATCTGTCTCTTTATAATTTTAAATTTTAGAAAATAACCTTTTTAAATCTCTTATGTATAAAAAGTAAATCTTTTACGTGTAAAAAGTAAATCTACCATATTTAAAAAAAGAGATAGGATGATAACACTAAAAACAAAGTTAAGTAAATCTTACGTGTCATTTGGGTAAGCTTTGGTTTAGGTGGGAAATAATTGAGCAAACACGTTTCTTGGAGCTAGACTAGCAATATATTCGTTCCGCTCCACAATAAATGACCAATTTATCTTGGGCACACTTATTAAAGAAATACAAAATTCTAAACAAAAATAGTTAATGTAACTAGACTACTCTTAATTAAATATTACAGCATAATTAATGTGAGGAGTAAAAAGACTTTTTAGGGATACATACATAAGGATAATTTTAAAAAAACAAATTGAATTTTTTCTCGATTATATAAATAGACACTTATTTTGGACCAAAATAAAAAGATAAATTAATCACTTATTATGGATCGGAGGGAGTATATAATAAATTATAATAAAATATTACAAGTGGGGAGTCTAAATTGTAAGTTTGATATTTCCAACAATCATTTAAAGTTTTTTAATTCATACATGTCTCAAACTCTCAATAGCCAATAGGGTAGGAAAAGTCTCACTGGATATACTCCACCTCTCCCCACCCCCTTTTCTTTAGTAGGCTATTTGAATTTTATTAATTTTGAATTTGCCGTCAAATTCAGAGTTGTTTTGGTCACTAGTTTCACAATTAATTATTTTTATATATTCAATAAATTACTTATTACAAATATTGAGTACAAACAAAAGTTACCGAATCTATTTGCATCATTACCTAATACTCTGCTCTATGGGTGGGTGGTGGGTGTGGTTCAAAGTTTTTTACTTGAGACTAGGGATCCCGAAGCGTGGGATCAATATTTTATTTTTATTTTAGTCAGGGAGTTGACTCTAGCAATAAATATGCAAGAGGGCAATCATCGTCACCATTATATGGCGTGAGTTCGAGTCACCCCAAAAGCAAGGTGGGGAGCTTTTGGAAGGAGGGAGTCAGGGGTCTATCGGAAACAATCTATCTATACTAGGGTAGAAGTAAGGTCTGCGTACACACTACCCTCTCCATACCCCACTAGTGAGATTATACTGAGTTGTTATTATTGTTGTTTTATGTAATTCGTGCCATAGCAATAAATATCGTGTCAATTCTTTTTTTAATTTCTATCATTATTGTTTTTATCATTATTATTATTAATATTCTTGCAAAATTTCTAAGGAAGTCGGTAGCCGCTACTCTTCGGATATGCACTGGATAACCTGCTTAATGTGGAATGACTCGCACATCACATAAAGGAAGTAAACTACATTAGACAAACCCATAGGACGAACTCTGACTCGGGAGTTATAAATAATATTACTATTATGTTAGTAGTAAATAGTAATTAGTATATATTTCCAAAACACATTTTATGTTTTTAATTAAAACTTTGCATGGATGTCTCAATAGGATAGTGCTTTGTCTTAATTGGAGTTTCCTCTTTTCTAACTCTTCCAATATATTAATACAACTGGACAATGACCTAAGAGGAATAGTAATTTGTTTTATCTATGCGGTTATCTTTCCACATGGGGTCGATTTTAAAATAATTAAATGAATTATCAAAGACCCCAGATTACTTAATAAAGTAATTTTTTTTGTTGAGAAACTACAAGTTATTATTAAATCAATATTTAAATCTACCTTACTGTTCAATCTTCAAGATACCCTAATTAGTTCTTTATTCTCCCTTTCCCTCTTTCTTATGTGGTACGCATATTCGTGTTTCAAAATCTACATTTCAATTTCTAAAAGAGTTAAGGTCTCGTTTGGACAAAAAACATAATTCACTTTTTTTTGATTTTTTTTTATTTTTTTTCGAAATCAGTGGCCATGAAATCTTCAATGATCACTTGAAAATGAATTTAGGAATTTTTCGACAATTTTAAAAACTCCAAAAAATTGTTTTTCAAAATTTTTCTTCAGATCACTCACAAAAATTCAAAAACAGCTCAAAATTATATTCATGACCAAACACAACTCTAATTTTCAAATACCATTTTTTCTTAAAAAAAATTCAGTTTTTTTCTGAATTTTACAATTCTTATGTCCAAACGCCCACTAAGTAAGAGGATTAATCCACCGACTCATGAGCAGAGACTGCAGAGCTATTTTTGTCCAGAAGGAGTCAACTGATTGTTTTCCACCGAAAAATCATACATTAGAGGTGTGGTTTCTTAGTTGTAAGTTTGATATTTCAAGTAATCATTTAAAAAATTTTACTTCATACATGTCTCAATAGCCAATAGGGTAGGACACAACGTCACTTGAATACTTTGTTGATCATACTCTTAAAGAAATATAATTATGTCCATTTTTTCGTGTGTTTATATATGATAATTTTTCTGAATTTGGTTGGCGGACTGTGATTAACCAAAAAATTGATGAAACTACTGGAAACGACCTTGTGAGAATTATCATCATGAGTAATATCGTGTTTTGGTGTTTCTCAGTCGGAAGAATACTATGCATGACACATATATAGACCCTACTTGTGTTATGCACGACCACTTGAATCTTATATGTGATAAAAATTTGACGGACTCTGATTGACCTGAAATTTGTCCGATCCACCGAAAATGATGTTGTGGGGAATACTTGCCATGACTAACATATTTTTTTGTCATTTCGCGGCCACGAAACAAGAATTAAGGATCATTTCTATTTTTTCGTGTTTTGTACACAAGATAATTTTTTAGAATTTGGTTGATAGACTTTGATTGACCTAAAATTTAGTGGAACCATCGGGTACTGCCTTGGGAGCAATACTCACCATGACTAACATGACTAACAAGGCAGTCGGTCGCCAAAATCATGAAGATAGCGTGGATAGTAGCACATGGAAAATCGTGCTCAATTCCTGTTCCATGGCCCTAAAAAGCCAAAACAAAAAACGGTCATAGAGAAGTAATGACTATTATTCATTAGGTTATTTCTGATGGCCCCATAAAATTTTAGGCGATTTGGAGCCGGTCGACCGAAGTCTTGAAGATGAAGCGGACATTAACACACGAAAAATTAAAAATTGTGCTTAGTTCCTATTTTATGACCATAAAATGCCAAACAAGAGGAACGATCATGGAGAAACAATAACTAGTATTTATTAGATCATTTTTGATGGGCCAATAAAATTTTAGGCAGTTCAGGACCGGTCTTCCGAATTCAGTAAGATGGCGTGGATATTAATACACAAAACATCGGAAAAATCATGCTTAATTCCTGTTTTATGGCCCTAAAACGCCAAAAAATGAAGAACAGTCATGGAGAAACAACGATTATTGTTCATTAGGTCATTTCTGATGGGCCCACAAAATTTTAGGCGATTCGCGTCCGGTCGCCCGAATTCATGAAAATGACATGGACATTCACACATGAAAAATCGAAAATCATGTTGAATTCCTATTTTATGACCCTAAAACGATAAAAATGAGGAACAATCACGGAGAAACAATGACTATTGTTCATTAGGTCATTTTTTATGGCACCTCAAAATTTTAGGCGATTCAGATCCTGTAGCTCAGATTCATGCAGATGGCGTAGACTAGCACACAAAAATTTGAAAATTGGCCCGATTTTTTAATTTTTTGGCACTAAAATGCCAAACGATGAGGAATGGTCATTCCAAAGCCTTGACTATTGTTTATTAGGTCATTTTTATGGTCCCACAAAATTTTAGGCTATTCGGATCTGGTAGCCCGGATCCATGAAGATGTCGTTGACTATAGCACACAAAATTCAAAAAATGACCTGAATTCCAATTGTTTAACCCTAAAATGCCACAAAACAAGGAACGATCATGCCAAAGCCATGACTATTATTCATTAGGTCTTTTTTTATGGCTGCATAAAATTTTAGGCGATTCGGATCCGGTATCTGGATTTTATGCAGATGGAGTGGACTATGCACACAAAAATTTAAAAATCGGCTAGAATTTTAGTATTTTGGTCCTAAAATGCTAAAAATGAGGAACGATCATGCTGAAGCCAGACGATTCAGATCCGGTAGCCCGAATTCATGCAGATAGCATAGACTAGTACACGAAAATTTGAAAATCGGCTAAAAATTCTAGTTTTTGCCCCTAAAATTCCAAAACACAATGAACGATGATGCGGAATCTAAGACTATTATTCATTAGATCATTTTTTGTGGCCCCAAAATTTATTAGGCAATTCGGATATGGTATCCCGAAGGCGCGAACCATACCACACAAAAATTTAGAAATCAGCAAGAATTCAGTTTTTTGGCAATAAAATACCAAAAAACGAGGAAAGGTCATCCCGAAGCCATGCCTATTGTTCATTAGGTTATTTTTTATGGCCCCGAATTTTTTAAAGCGATTCAGATCCGATATTCTGCATATGGCGTGGACTATAGCAAATGAAAATTCTTAAATAAACATGAATTCTA